GTCTTATAAGGTCTCCGCCAAGCAGTAATGTGAGCATTACTGCGTTTCGGTTTTGTAGGGTAATGTTGCTGGTGAAATTATAGGCACATGGCACTTGTTAGCTTATGTCTCAGGGGACAGACGCAGTAGCAGGGGGCAGTATCTTTCAGATCTTTGCGGTTTAAAAATATATACATATCGCACTAGACAACTAACATAGTATTATCTCAAAAATTGCGTTATATTATATTTTATCTCAAAATTGCGTTATACTAATAATTTATCTCCAAAATTTCGCTATATTCATGTGTCATTCATATACGATTTAATTTCAAAGCGACAGGACAACACTGTCGCTTTGAAACTAAATAGGTAATATTAATATAACTTAAAGCCATTTTGAAATAATACAATGTTAGTTGATCTGTGCGATATATGTCTTTTCAAAAAGACAGAAAAGATACGTAATATTAACCTTAGAACTAAGTCTAAACTTATGGTACCACGATTTCGTTTAGTTAAGGCAAACGATTATTTTATAGGGAACTGTATACGTTTTTACAATAAGATTCCGGAGCATATATTAAGATTACCATTTGCTAAGTTTCAAACTTACATTAAACATATTTTGATTGAAAAGTCATATAAAAAAATTGAAGAGTATTTGTTAGATAAAGATGTATGGCAAGACAACAAGAATCTAGATTCCACACAATTATGATTCAAAGTGTATTCCATAGCATTTAAGTTTATTGAAAAGAGCAATCCCTAGAGTTTCTTGCTCGTTCTTCTCAGGGAGGTCAGCGTAGTGAACGAGCGGTAGCTTAAAAAATTACCTTTTCAAGTGTCAAGCTTTTACTCATGGATTAAATGATTATCTGACTTTGACTTAAACTCTGCACCTGCTATGGATAGGGATGAAGGTTAACAGTAGCACGACTTGTTCTTTCTGTCACTGGGTATCATAAAAAGATATAAGAAAAGGGTTCGGGGCATAGTCCGCCAGTCAGGCGCCATGTTGGAGACTTCACACCTTCATAACGTTGTTTTGTTTCACCGTTAGTATGAGGTTACATGTCGCGACAGGGATGTGATCTGTTTACTTCCTAACTTTTTAAATGCCTCCATGGCCGAATTATTCTTGTTGTTGTTTGTTTTTCGTTTTATTTTTTTATGGTTACCCTGCTAGACTGCCAGGCCTACATTCATTTCTCTCGTGAGTTTGGCTGTAATTTGTGGTTGTGTATAAGTGTGTGTCCATGGCACCCGCGATACAGGGTTTCCCTAGAGCCTCATAGCCCCATGAGTGTGACCGTGTTATGTGTGTGCGTTACCTCCCAACTGACAAGAAATCTTTCTACCCTGCCCTCTGCTCTATACTGCTTTCCTTGTCGTAGCTAAGGCATTTGTACTTCGGTAACTTTCGAGATTTGCACTTAAAGTTTTATTGTCACCTAAAAATACGTTAATTAAGCGCTGATTTTGCTTAACAATAAAACTGAAACTAAATAAGATGTTTAAAAAAACGATTATAGTGGGTTCTAGATCTCGTTCCGCTAATCTGAGACATGTTAATAACTCAATTTCGCTAAAAATTTCAATTACGTTAGTTATAATAAAGAGAGCAGTATACCTTACGTGACTATACGTCCCGCTTTGAGCGGGACAGTTCCGCTTTGAGCGGGACAGTTCCGCTTTCAATCTTCGTGTCCCGCTGTCCCTAAAAGCTCCCAGTTTGTTTTGTCAAGCTATTAGGGACAGCGGGAGAAGATCGAAGGAATCTTGTCTAAGTGTTCAATCTTTGTATTGATAATTACATGTAATAAATTATGTATATACATAATTGTTGTGTCGTAGCGTCGATTTCTGCAGCCCGGGGCCAACATTAAATTTGTTGCATCCTTTATTTTCACGATTACGAAAGTACGTAGTCTGTTTTGGGCAGACTCGACTCGATTGTGTTTTTACTGCCATCGCCACCTTTGTGCCGTTCAGTCTATCGTTTATCCAAATAGTTGAGTTTCTTTTTTAATTTTAAGTAAAAAACAAATTACTAGTCAAGTCTCGGCCGCGTTCGCCACCACCCCCATCGCAGCGCTACTCGGGGCCTTGGCCCCCTTTGCACTCCGCACACTAAATTATAACTCCCCTATTTAAGCATAAAAAAATTATCAGACTAATTTCGATCGCAAAATGTTTAAAGCTCTGTCCTGAAAATATGTCATTTTGCAGATGTGACCTTATTGCACATCGGGTGCGAAATATACTGATAATATGCGCTACAAAGGTTACTTTATCCCGAAAACCAATCTTCTGCGACGTATGTTTACAATTTCGACGAAAAATAGCATCAAGGAAGGCCCACTGCAGGGAGCGCGTGGCATAAATAGCTTACAATTTACTGCGACAGATTCGCGGAAGGCGTGCGACTATTTGTCTGCCGAGTGAAACGGAATTGGCTGAGTAAAATACCCATTTCAAAAACATTGAGCCACGAAAGGATGGTCAACAAAGGCCAGGAATTTTTTTATTGCAAAAAACAGTTGCTATTCGTGTAGTGTGTAGGAGTCGTGAAAACCATAGAATGTTCACTTTAGCCAGCGTCCGTTATTTTACAGATTTCCTCACACAGCCAACGTACGATGACAGCCACACACCGGCCCCTCCCATTTCACATTAATCATTACCAATTACAGAATAACATGCACATATGTAAAATGAATAAAGATTGAAACGTAAATAACAACTTTATTTTTAGTACTGGCAATACTGTTTTTATTTTCTTTTCACAATTTTGGTTTTCTTCACTTTAACTTACTTTTTTTGGTATGAGTAGTAATTGCTCTAAAGTTTTGTAATTAAACTATAGTCTCATCTTAGTTAGCTACCTAATAGCTAATAAATAGGCTTGCTCAATAAACTTTACTATTATTATTCACTTCTTACGAACATATATTAACTGCCTCAGTGGCCGAACGGTTACCATGCCGGACTGCCACGCAGAGGTCCTAGGTTCGATTCCCGGGCCGGGAGAAATATTTGTATGGCTTACATTTATTTCTTTCGTGAGTTTGGGTGTAATTTGTGTTTGTCTATGTATGTGTCCATGGCACCCGCGACACAGGGTTTCCCTAGTGCGGGGCTATGTTGAGTGTGTGCGTTATTATTATTATTATATCTATGCTCTCCAATGTAAAATGAATAAAATATTTTCTAAATATAAAATAAGACCAATTGATTCGGTTTATTTAGTCAACACGCGAGAATTTTGCGTGGAACGTTGACATGTTCGCAATAGGTAAACCCACGGGAGCGACGCAACGTCGCCGGCATTTATGAATAGAGATGATAGTGTATTATCGCCGCGTGGACGCGAGAAATGGCGCTGGAAATAGCGCGCCACCGGCACCGCAGAGGCACGCCAGCTATGTGCTGCGCCGCAGATATTAATACGCCATATAATTTAACACGAATATTCGATGTGTGAAAAGTTGTTAAAACAACAGCAGCGCTTTCTTATGCCAGATTCCAAGATTCACTGCAGCTTGTTAACTGTCGGAGTAAGATATAATGTAAATAAATATAAGTCTTAGTAAATAATATAGTGTGTGTATTTTCTAAAGTCAAAACATTAGCAAAGACAGCGTGGGTCTTATCTAAGGTTTTGACCTTACATGAGATCTTTACACGGGTCAATCTTTAAGAAATTTTTTTTTTTACAATATCAAGTGACGGCACGAACAAGTCGTGCGCCTGATGGTAAGCTACACGCCTGTCCATAACAGTCGCAAAGATCTGAAGGGCACTGCGCCCGTCACCCTGAGACATAAGTTGACAAGTCCCTTGTGCCTGTAATTTCACCAGCACCATTCCCCTTCAAAATCGGAACACATTAATGCTAACATTGCTGCTTGGCGGCAGAAATAGGTAAGGTGGCAGTATTTATTTCTTATACCATTTATTTCTATTTCTTAGACCAAGACCTTAATAATAATAATAATAACGCACACACTCAACATAGCCCC